TTTTTGTATCCTTTCTCATCACAACATGTTTTATGTTAATATTACAGGTGTGTAAACTCATGGATAATATGAATGCGAAAGCAGCTGCGATTTTTTTTACATTATGCAACAAATGCTTGTATACTGTGACAATCTTTATTTATCTCATTTTAATGCTTATCTAAACTCAATCATATGTAAAAAAGTTAAATACTGTGATAATAAAATTTTTTATTAATAAGTTAATACACTATGGTTTTATACTTTTCCTTTACAGTAGATCAATCTGCAAATGCCATCATGAATATGACAAATGAAAATGAAGCACAACCACCAGATGTTGAAAATAATGTGGAGGTTCATCAACCCACAATTATACCACAGACACAATCACTTGATATTAATAGCAATGATAGTAACACTGCACAAAATATTACTGAAAGTGATCCCCAAAATGGAACACCATTAGGGGAGTCTCAAAACATTGAAAATAATATTGAACCTCATAACCCAAGTTCAGAGGGAAATATGGCTCAGTCTAATGTCAGTTACTCAGGGGCAGCACAAAGTGGCGCCAAGCCGAACAGACATACCAATAATAAGTTAAATACTATTCCCAAATCAGATTTGAACTTCTGGACAACTCAAATAAAACAAATTCTAACGCATCATAATAATGGTAGCCGAATATTAATAATTATGAGAGGTGTTCCAGGAAGTGGGAAAACATATTTGGCTAGAAAAATTCTAGAAGCAACTATTGGCGGTCCCAAATGTGATTTCTCTATGCACATTTTTTCAGCTGATGACTATTTTTTCATAAAAGGTTTTTATCAATATGACAGAATGAAGCTACAGGATGCACATATTTGGAATCATACTAAAGCTAGATCAGCAATGAAGCGAGGCGTGAGTCCTGTTATAATTGATAATACAAATATTGAAGTATGGGAAATGGAGCCCTACCTCAGAGATGGGGTAAATAATGGATATTTGATAGAAATCGTACAGCCAAATACTTCTTGGGCAAAGAAAGCAAATACATTATCACGTAAAAATATTCATAATGTGCCATTGGCTACCATTAAAAGAATGCTTAGCAACTTTCGAGATGGTATTAGTGCTGAAACATTGATGACTTCTTATAAGTTGTCTTATCCAAATCATTTGATTCCACCTGTTTTGAGAAATTTTCCTATTATACCAATGCAAACGGTCCCCACTGAACATTCTAATTCTAATGGTAACGCCGTCTCTAGCGTTGAACATTCAGAACATAATTGTAATACCAGTCCCGATAATATGACTGTTCAAAATAAAGAAAAGATAGATAATCCACCTCGCTCTTCAAGTTCTGATGAAGAAACGCAGAACATCACTGAAAATAACGATGATTTTTCAAATACGAAAGACACATTAAAAGAAGATAATCAAATTGACAATACTTTAGAGCAGCACACAGAACCAAATGTGCAAATAGAAGAACTTGAAAAAATTTATGAAGCTTGGGAATCAAACGAAAAGTGGGAAGACGACCCGGCTGGAGATCAAAAAACTGGTAATAGAAAGGAAGTTATGTGTGAGAATGAGGTTTTGGAAAATTCAAAGCCACCACGAAGTAAATTGAACAAATTTAAGAGAAGCTTAGAAGATACCAAACCAGACACAGATAATTTGTTAGCCAAATGCCATGATTGGAGTAAAATCGACATGTTTATGCAACCATGGGATGATAACAGTAAGGTAGACGAAGAAATACCCTTAATTGTAGTCGAAAAAGTTAGTAGCGGCACTTCCACAGACCTTGGTGGTATGAATGTTTCTGATGTAAACAAAGCTTCTAAAGTTTTAAGCGCAGTACCGAGAAATATAAATCTTTATTACATGCCTCTCGATAAAGAAAAAATTCCCGAAAAGAGAATGTTAGATATGAGTACCATGACTGATGAAGAAACACTAGCAGAAGTGTTTGAGGATCGCGAAAAAAAAATGAAATTTGCAATATTCAGGGATACATTTAAGAATATTCGCAAAAAAGATTTGAAGAATGTATTAGACATTTGCCAAGGTAATGTTCAATGGGCTTCGGAACTTATGCTTGATAACGTGGCTAATAGTGTATTTCCACAAGTAAAAAGTGATGATTCGTCTGATAGTGAGGACTCGTCTGATAGTGACGAAGAAAACTCTTGCGCTGTTAAGATAACTTCAAAACATGGTGATGCTGATGTTGATTCTAAAAGTAGCCAATGCGCTGAAGCTGATCAGATCTCAGACAAAACAATAAATAAGATTCCATGTGATAATTCGCAACCGAGCACAAGCATGAACACAGATCAATTATTAGTAAACTCGACCGATGTTACTTTAACATCTAGAAAAGGTAAAAAGGCAAACACATCTGAATATCATGTTAATTTAAAGAGACAAATAGAGAAAAACGTTGTTATATCTGAAAACCACTATTCGAAACATTGCTTAAAGATAAGAAATCAGCGTCAAGGAATTCGGCCGGATGTTACAGTAAATCAAGAAGATATTAAGGTGGATAACGCAGAAGTTCCTAGCAGTACACAAAGTCCTGACTATGCAGTACCAAGTACTTCCAATGCGCTCATGGAAATTCAAACAAATGAAATTGCTTTGGTAAATGGAAGCAATAGTGACGAAAGCGAAAACAATTTCCCTAAATCTGAAAATACTGTAAATGTCAATTTGAGTTGGGATTTTATTTCGAAATTAGATGAGCATTTTGGGAGAGATGATATGAATTATCCTGAATATGTATCACCTATAGTTAACATGCCGGAGTCCTTGCTAAATGAAATTAATGCTTTTTGGATGGAATCCTATATTAACCAATCAGAGGCGAAATATAAGGAAACTGAATTAATGATACAACAAGATGAAGAAATAGCTAGGTTAGTATTCAGATTACAAGTTTTTTTATTGATTCATTAATTAATTAATATAAGAAATAAACTAGCTGGCATGTGTTTATTTATACTAGTTTTGGTATATTTTAGTAATGACTACTGGTATTGGTGAAAATCATTAATATTGTTTCAGGGAGTTAGAGAGGCAGGAATTCGAATTAAACACGCCAACGGAGCCGACAACATCTGATTTAGAAGATTTAATGGACACTGAATTATCACTATCTTGGCAAAACAAAGTCATCTCTGATTGGAATAAGGATAAGACATTGGATTTGGCGGCTAGAATTACACGAGAAAATTTGAACAACTTATTTCCAGATATGCATCCACAATATTTGTCCGAAGTACTAATTGCTCATGATAACAATTTTAATAATACTGTAGAGGTGTGTTATTTGATGAATTTTCTTCGTACTAATATTATAAATGCGAATGTTTAAATGGATGGATGGATGGATGTTTGTTTGAAGGTGTCTTCAGAACGATTGAACGGATCACGCAAAAATTTTCCATACAACACAGGCTACTCATTTAGGTTTTTTTAAATGCGCGTATGTAGTCGCGGGCGACAACTAGTTTTTCATATTATTAACATCATCTACATTGTGTTAAATTTTCTAGGGACTTTTATTATCGACTGGAAAATCGGAGATACTGGAAAGGGAAAACGGATTAAGAGATTTCATAATGGCTAGAGGAACGGAACACCGGGAGAAACTACGCAATGAATGTAAAAAAGTGAGTTCGATTGTAGAAGTCAGTAGCTGTTAGGCGTATTTTTCAGTGCAGGCCTCTTTTAGAATGAAAATTACTCAAACAATTCAATATTAACTGCTGTCCCTATGTTTCCAAAGCAGTTATAATTATAATTCGCAAAGGTTTGTCATACGAGATTTTTTTATGGACTTCTTGATTTGTAACAATAGTCTCATAATGGAAAGTTATTAGTAATTTTTTTTTACAATTAAAGTCATGAAAACACCGTGTTTTATATATTATATTTTTTTTATTAACAGCAATTATCACAGACTGAACCGCCGTTTATAGCAAGCGGAAAAAAAGTTGATATGAAATTGTTCGAACGTTTTCGCAATCAAGCTGAGATGCATTTAACAAGAAGGAATCAGTAAGTAATTTTACTTCATTTTTAATCTAGCGCAGAAATTAGATAAACTACGCCAAATTTTGCATATTAATTTTGACAAATTACTAAATAAAATATTTATTAGCTGTGATTACTTCCTTAAGGTGCATTTTCTCTGGGCATTAACTCGGTCGTTCAGTATAGGGGGAGTCCCCGAAATAATACAAACGTCATGAAAATGAAACTCAGTCTTAGTACTTAATACTTTAGTACTGAATACTTTACCTTCATAATGTACCATATTTGTTTCTCTTTTTTCTTTAGAATTTTGATTTTCATCGTATATTTCAGGGTATACCAGAAAATTCGTGAGAATATGTCAAACGGTAACATGCAAGTCGCCAGATACTATTCAGACATCGCGGCGATGCATACACAGGGATATGATCATGCAAACTCTTTGGCTGTAGCAGCTCTCATACAGGTAAATATATAACTACAACTAGCTATTGCCAGCGACTCCGTTCGCAGGTTTAAAATTAATAAGTAGCCTATTTGTTCTTTTAGACTACGTTTTACAATGTTTTATACCTATGCCAATTTTTATCGAGATTTGTTGAGCCAGAGTTGCCTATTAACATACATCTATCCATCTTTCCCATTTATTATATTAATGAGATTAAGGTTTTCTTTTTATTTATTTTGATAAAAATATCTTTCACTTCTTTACCACATAACCTGTGTCAAATTTCACATTCATCCGTTTGTGCAATTTCCTTCAAAACATGTACAAATTTGTTGCTTCACGTATTAATATGTTTAGCAGGAAAAGAGGTAACGAGGTAGAAATTAATTAAGTAATTGATATTTAAATGTTATATTCAAGGTTATATACAAAACTATGTACATTAAAACAGCATTGATAAATAAATGTTTTTACATTCTTCGTTGTCTTTTAAAGAATCTTGTTTAAACGTAACGAATAGATAAACATATAACAAGTTTTGAGATGTCATTGTGTTATGTCATTTTTTTTTTCTTTTAAAATGAAATATAGTAAATAAAATCTGAAATCCAGCCAAGTTTCGACGCGTTGGATGACACAACTAAAAATTATAAAACATGTTAAATTTATATACTATTATATATTTAAAAGAATTCATCTATGCGAAATATGATCGATAAATTTTGTGTTATATAAAAGTAGAAATGATAAGATTAAAAATATTTTATATTTCTTATCTATTATCTGATTAACCTCTTCGGCGCAGAATAAAAAGTAGTATTATAATATTATATTTCCGCATACGCAACAGCTACATTACAGTTAAAGTCCCGTCAAAAACCGGAACAAACGCGGTTTCGCGGACACACACTTCCATTATTGCCTCAAATTTATCTATGTACACACAATAAATAAAATTGCAAAGTGTGTATGTATTATAAAAAAAGTATTTATATTTTATTTGCGATACTTATTACAAAAAAAAAATTTGGCTGTGTTCGGGTTCTTCGCTGACCTTTTTACGCAAAGTGACTGGCAACCGCTACTTTTACAATAAACTCCTTCATTGATAAGCTTTTGGGTATTAAATTGTTTAAACTTTCGTAATAAAAAAGTAACGGTTTTCGAATACCTAATCTGTAAATGAATACCTATTTTGTGTAATATTTTAGGTGGGAACGTCAGAAAATGATTACACGGCGACAATGGATTTGCACCATTTACGGGTTAGAGAAGCAATGGAAGGCCTCGATCTGTTCCTTGACTCTAATATACATAGACTACGGGAGATAAAAGGAAAAAAGAGTGTCAAATATATGACATTGTATTTCATAACGGGCCGTGGTTTGCACAGCCCTGGTCTGCCAAGAATAAAACCCGCCGTACAGAAAAGGCTTGCACAAAGGGGTATAGTGTAAGTATTTTAGCTTGCTGCTTTTAAATTCTTATTAATTTATCGATTTAAACTTTCATTTTATTAATTCATAAAACAAATAATTAAACAATTATAATATTTAAATAGATAATAGAGAGCTAAATCACATATTTGCTTGCTAATATTAAACTAATGCTTATTTATGTAGCGCGTTTTATTTCAGCTTTAAAGAGCGAAATCCTGGCTTGCTGATGGCTAAAGTTTATGCCGGTCATAGAATGACCTATGAAGTAGCCTAGCATCAGGCGATGGTACAAAGATTTAGAGCACAACCCCATCCACTAGCATATCAAGTTACCAACTTTTCTTGGTATACTTCTGTTGGGATGGTGCAACCGGTTGTACACCCTTTTATGCAACCTCAACCTATTATAGTGCCCGCTAATGCATACTATTATCATTACCAATATTATCAATATTACCAACAGCACCAATATTACCAAAATTACCAATATTACCAACATTATCAATATTACCAGTACTATCCGTATGTACAACATAGTGGTTTCTTCAAATAAACTATGTAAACTTCATACATTTATAACATGATATAAAAAATCACAATTTTACCGAATGAATTGATTTAAACCTATGCAGTTGTCTAAGATGTTTGGAAAAGACTGTGGTGTGTGTTACCTGATCGGCTTTAAATTCATTTTATATAAAAAAATATGAAAAAATAAATAAAAAAGTGGTGTGATACTTGTCGAATTTACGCGCGATCGCGCTATTTTTTGTTATTTTCTTTTAATAACGAAGACTTGGTCTTCTTTCACACGGCAGAGTGATATATCAGAATTCTTTTGTAACAAATTATCAATCGTTTAAACATAATGTCAATTTCTGTTCAATTTTTAATGGTATAGTCGTTACGGAAACTAACCATAGACTTACCAAAGTAGTAGAAAAACCAAAGATCTTAAACGATGATAAATTTTTGAAATTATATCCAAAACTAACTTTGTAGATATTTTGGTATAAAAGCATTCTGATAGTAAAGTGTATGTGAGACTGACTGGCATAGGTGATAACATATACATACATTGTAATGTATACTTGATAAAATATACCAAAACAGTAAACTTACCAGATTGGTAAATAAGTTGGAGGGAAATATCAAATATTGTTTAGTATTATACTCGCTATGAATTTACAAGCAAGCACTTAAAGTGAATTTCTGGTATGAATTAGACTCATTTGACGCTTTGTTTAGTTTGAGCGCAAGCTATTAGCGATTCGTGATTTTTGTATACATTTACTAGAATATGCTGGTCCAATCACGCTTAGCTGCTGCGCTTTGTGATTCACTCTATAGACAATGCAAACCCACATGCCAACTTCACATATTAGAGCTAGTTGTGAGCTTCTAAACATTTACAAAAATCACGAATCGCTAACGACTTTGGCTAGAACTAAATAAATGTTAATGGGCATTTAGCTACAGTGTGAACTTACTACTAGAAAAAAAATTAGAATTATTAAAACTATATTCACGATGGTTAGAACAAACTTCTCTGTTCCATTAAATCAGTAATTTATAATATTATATTATATTATAATTTAATATATAGCGAGTATTATACTGAAGAAGTTTTATACTGTAATTTGGCGGGATGTTTTTAAAAAATAACCTGGCAACTTTTGCTCAAATTTGATAAGACGTTTGTTTTTCTCAAAACTTTGTTTATATTATTTAGATTTATTTATTATGTAGGTTGTTTTAGTTAAGATTGACTACATATTCACTAGGTAACTCTGACAATAACCTTTTATGTAAATAGTTTGATTTTTAATATTTTCCTACTTATATGTAAAGATAACAGGGTGCCGTGTTTTTAAACGCGAACAATTAGTACGCACACTTTTAGACATATGTTACATTAACTTATTTTTTTTATTTTGTTTAAATAGTGAAACTTGGATTGAATAAAAAACCTTATAATCGCACAAAGGAGACATTTTTTGTATGGGAATTAAGCCCACAGATACCAGTGATAAACAGAAGCACATAAATTCTAGATTAAAAAAGGGTTTAAAGAGGACAACACTGAAATGACTAAATTATCATTTATTTTGAGGTTATCAACCATATCTAAATATATTGCACCGCAATGTTAATAAAAAAAATCATGATTGAATTTAGACTTTACAAAAAATAAATTATATTTTTTTTTCAATTACAAGTATTATTTGAAAATTATACGTTACAATATTGTGTGGGCACAAAAAAGCTATCTCCTTTGTCTGTTTAACCTTTCCAACAATATCTCGATTTAACTTTGAGGTTGCTGCTGTGCTTGCCATAATATTTAAATAATTAATCAAAAAAACTTCGGAGTATTATATGTCACCAGGTTTCACTATTTAAAATATTGTTTTAGTTTAAAGATTTTGTTAAGACATTTATAAATTTTTGTGTTGATAAAACCCTATTGGTTATTATATTTGTTATTATTTCTGTTACATATTAGGTTACCGTGTAAATAATTCTACCTAAGGATAACGTTTGTATGCAATACAACGTGTGAATAACAGTTCCGTCTTTTTGTTATAATTAATTATTTTAATTATTAGGATTCAGAACCGAGTGAATATGTTTTAAAAAATATATTTTTGTACTAAACTCTGGATAACCTATTTTTTTTTTACTTTAAGAATGTTTATAAAAATATATTAAAAATGCCTATTTTATAGATTTGACAGTTCTAAAACTTGTGTCAGCTGTAGTGCATGAAATAAATGGAATAATAATAGCGAACTGCATGAATATTCTAACGTAGACAAAAGTACCTACCAGAAATACAGAAAGCAACAAGTATTAGAAAATATCGATAATTCTTCAAATACGTATGCGCAAAGCATGCGTAGTGTTGTTGATTTGACTTTTTATAGAGTTGCCAGTCATTGGAATAAAAAAAGACAACTGCACGCTTCATATGCTAACTTAAAGACATAATTTATGTGCAGCATATGTATTTGACACCTTATACTTGTGGTAAAAAAAAAAACTAGCAAATTATCTCAATTTCTCACATCGAATGAGATTATAACACTGAGAAGGAATCAAGATTAGAAATGTCTTTACGTAATTTGTGCCGGTAATTGAGCCAGGCTATTGGTATTCCAAGAATTGAATCGAGTGCTATGTACGAGACACTGTTCGTGTCTTACGTAGGTTTTACTTCAAGTTAAAACTCATTGGCACTTGATATTTGTAGTAGTAGCTGTAGTGGTTTTTAATGTTATATCGTTGTGTAGAAAAGTAGATTGATGTGCCATAGAATTAGAATTAAATACATTCATCCTTTTTTTGGTTCTTTCTGATAAGTTTTGGTTATGGTTAAAATATATTTTTAATAATTTTTCTTATCGTAGTTATATGTTAAGATACAATTTTTGTAAATATATCAGAACACGAGCACGATCCATTTCAAAGGGTACAGTACAAATAGTAATTGAAATTTAGCTGAATTTATATTAAAAATAAAACAATCAACTCTATATCTCTGACAGTTCTCTATACTTTAGGAAAAATGTTCAAAACGTATACAGAAGTACATTTAAAATTTACACTTTTTAGATAAATATTATTTTATTTTACAGTGAACGAAAATATTAAGTACAATTATTTTGTTACATTTATTTTAAACAAGTAGAATAGGAAAAAATATTAATACGTCGTAGGATAGGATACTGCTTAAATATATGTCGTATTATCGGTGTTAAATATCCTCTTTGTTAGAAACATTTAAATGTTATCCTGAACAAAATATCTACGGGATTTAAAGTCATTGTGTATTCACACTAACTTGTATGACATTTATATCCCACTCATTGTCGTCGAAAAGACAAGGATAACGATAAAATCCAGTGCTGCCGTTAGGGTAGGTAGTGACTTGGTAACCGCCCAGGGCGCTGGTTCTGTGAATTACACAGGCATGGTGATCTTGCCTAGGCCTCTAGTAGACCGATAATGAATGCGTCAATAGAAGTCTTACTGCACTCTGAAATTTCACGCAAATACGACAGCTGTGACTGCGCAAACGCATGTCCCATTTATGTAGTATTTATAAGATATTCTTGATGTTTTGATGTTAGTAGGAAACTCGTATTAATGTTACTGTAGCGTTAGAACAAACTTGGTGTTGTGTAACTTTTTTCGCTAATATACACATATTTCTTCTTAGGTTAAACTCAATTCCATATAAGCCCTCCGCTGTTATTTAATCCCAAACGTGATTTCAAAGCCCCGGAAAGCCAAGGATGGTTTATGGGTCCAGTAGATTTGAAATTAGTATAAAAACTGATACTATAAATTCATTTGTGTTTTATATACTTTGAACTAAACTTGACTCGCGATTTTGTTGCATTTCAATGATTTAGAAGTGAGTATAGTGAAAAACGCATGTTCCTTTTTAATTCTCTCTTACCTTCTCACACTTATTTATGTAAGCCAATATAATGTATGTCTTGGACACCTAATCTTAGTTACATTTTTCGACTTTAAGTCAACTTCTAAAGTTAAATTCAATATATGTTCTTTTGATACAAAAGTACGTTGTAACTAAATTATAATATATTATTTTACGCTGCAATTTCCTTTCTGCTTTCTCCGTCCGACAATGCATAGCATTACGATACAACGCCGTCAATGAAGCATATTCTATTTTACTGTTTTTCTGTAATATTGACATTGGTATTTCATATTTAGGCCTAATTTATAATCATACTTAATCTTTGACCATGTTTTCCATTTTGAAAGCGGGAAAAAAAGACCGCAGAAGACTGAAAAAGGCTTTTGTTATTTTTGAAAATTCTCAAATTGAGACAGTTCGGAATTAACCTTCCTTCATCCTTACTGTAAGGATGATTTTTTTTTTGATAAATATAAAAACAAAAACCGCCTCTGTAAATAATTACTTCTAATGTTTAACAATTCACTAAATAAGGTTCTTTGAATATTATTATGCATAAATTATATTCGAGAATATTAATATTTTTGAAAGTTTTAATTCATATTTTAGAACGATGCTCATGGATTAAAGAAACTTTCCCCTTTTTTTTTCTTAAAATATTGTCCGCCTAAAATTAACTTAAACTAAAATTAACTAGCTCCTGTCACTTTGTATAAAATTTTTGACCAATTTTTAAATCGACATAAATCTTTCATAAGATTTTGGGAGCTTTAAACACAAGGTAAATTCGTAATAATTATGAATAGAATAAAAAAAAAACCGTCATATTTTTTATGATTACTTGAAATGAAACGGATTTTTGAAATTATATTGGAATATGAAATTTTGGTCTATCTTTTTTATGTCATTCAAATTAATACTTAATTATAAAATGATCAATTATGTTTCTACCTCTTATATTATCCTAAATCTATGTAATAAGTCAATTAAATAATTCCATAATTTATTCATTGCATTTTTTAATCAAAAATTATTACTTCAGATTATTTACATTTTACAATGCTGAACTAAGTAACCTATTTATTCTAAACTATAATTAAAATTAATTGGCCAGTTATATCTTCGCTTGCGTCAAGTAATTTTGTTTTAAAATATCATTGTTTCTTTTTTATATAAAAGAAGAACAAAAAATATAGTAGATGTAGATTTTTTTCATTCCCCATTAATTAATATGAAGCCTAATCTGAAGTTTTTAGATGATACGTACGCTTTAAATGTGTAGTTTACTGTTAAATGATTCCGCTTCTGATACAACATGAAATGGTCTTTTTCAATTAAAGACGCATTTAGAGTGGCACTCTTTCATCGTCTTTCCACTGCCTTTATGGCATTTTCTTAAAAGAAATAGTTGGTGTATCACGATCTTCATATATAGATGTTCTTGCACCGTTAGTTCGTAAGATTGGATGTGAATGGCTTAAGTAGTTAGTGCTTTCTGTGTCAACGCTTCAATAATAATTATAAATTCGACAAGACGTCACTTGGTAGCTTCTAGTCTTAAACTACTCAGAATATGTATTGATAATTATTTTACCATTTAAATTTTCTTGTGTACCTGTACGGTTTTCTTTTGTTAAACTTTTTGTCGTTATTTTAAGAAATTAGTCGTTTAAGTTGTATGGATTTCAAAGCTTATATTAGGATCTGTAGGTTCTATATGTTTAATTGGTTCTTACTTTATTGAATTGTCTACATATTATTTTACAGGTTATATTTGCAATCAGTTGACAGGCATAAAATAAAAGGAGGTTTTAATTTTGTTATTAACCTCAGTATTATGTTGTTACGGGTATTTTGTAACTTTCGTTTTCTATGAATTTTATTCCATGCAGTTTATGTTTACCTTACACAGGGTCTTTGTTTAAAACCTATCAATCTTTACGTATACACTTTTTCTAATAAACAATATTGATGTTTAGAGTTAGCAGTAGAGTCAATTTAAAGACAAATAAAGTATAGACGTGATATGTATATTTTTCTCCAACAATCCCCATCTCTTCGATAAAGTGACAGCTTCGCTGCATCGTAAGTATCTATTTCTTAATTATTTTTTGTACCTTTATTTACAGTTTAATTTTTAAATTTGGAAATTATATGCCTAAATTAA